GATCATGCCGCCATTCCATTTTTAGAAGACTTAGAATAACAAATCATGTTTATATTTAATAGGCGAATTTAATTAGCATAAATTAGTAAATTGTTATAAATTAAGATATAATTCGTTGATTTTGCCTACCATAAATTAATGATTTTGATATAAACGATTTAGATTTAAATGATTAAGGAAATATATACATATTATGGATTTTAAATGATTAAGGAAATATATATTCAAAGAAAATCGAATAGGATAATGATTACTTAATAAATAATTCTTCAATTTTTAATATATAATGAAATGACAAAAGTTTATTAATAAAAATCTTACAAATAAAAAGTTATATTATCAAATGTATTTAAAAAATGTTAATATAGATTGATTTGGTTGGTCAAGTTAAAAATAAAATAGTTTAAAAAGTCAACTATATTGAATATTCCATACTAAGAAAACATGGAATGGTTTCTATTAAAACAAATATTAAAATACTCAATGTTTAAAATTTCGATCAAGATCTTTATAAAATATTTGAAATTAAGAAAATCTTGCCAGTTAAGCTAAATTTTAGGCATTGTATCTTACAAATAAAGTTAAATATCAAACGTAATAATTATCTTTCCTTTAATATAGAAAACCAATTTTTTTTTTATCAACTGAAAAATGAACGATGTAGATTAAATCTCTAAACCCGATTAACATATCCGTTTAGTTAGTTAGATACGCGTGTTAACCCAGTTAGAAATGATAATTATTTCATTTTAAAACTATAGTGTAAATTCATTGTGTACTTCAGCTTTAATAGTATAGATATACACAAAGGAATATTCCTATTCTAATAGATACAAATCGCAATATGCTAATTACTATTAGTTCTAACGTGTCACAGCTGATGATGTGATTCCCTCTGCATTTGGATATAGATGTGCTGACTCCCTTCGAACGGCTGGATTCCCAACCTTATTCAAACAATGCGGAGGGTCTTTAACATTGATTGCTTATTCCACTTTTTTTTTATTTGATTACATGTTTCTTAACATACATCTCTGAATTTGATTTATACCATGTGTGTGCAGGGATCATGTAATGAATGAGATCCGTGTTTGGCTAAGAACCATTGAGCTTTGATGATATGGTTATACTCTGCGGACCGAAGAGAACTGGGGAACAAAGTTACCGACCAATATTAATATCCATTCTAATATTTATTCCCTCTATTCGTTATGTAATAAGATTTTTATTGAAAGGTTTGTTTTTTTTATTTAAAGGATATTTCAAATTATTATTAAAATGTAGATCCGTGAGGAAGAAGATCCTTGATGAGATTATATATTAGTGTGATGCTCAACCCATGAATTCACCTCTATACTAAAAATGGAAAAGTAAAACTAAAAATCGAAGTAAAATTTAAAGTTGAAACAAATTTAATCGTGATTACTATATTAAGATAAGATAAAAGGAGATGATCTTATTCTTATAAGAAAAATCAAAAATCAAAAGTTACACGAAGAAGCAAATCTTTAAAACCCCAAACACTCTGATACGGTCAACTCAAGGCATGTCCTAACCTAAGTAGAAGAAGATACGGAAGGATCAAAGACTTTCCCTGCGAACAAAACAGTTCCGGTTTTGTCTTCTCTAATCAAGAAAAGAAACGGATGATCAGCCACAAAATCTACGGGAGGAGGAGGCAAATAAGTCATGCTGCCATAAACGCAACATAGAGCAGTAGCAGCCGCAGCTTCCGCACCACCGTCTTCATCGATCTCAATCAAAGCTTTATGGTACAGTGACACATTAAGCTCTATTTCACCAAAAGTTCTTGAAGCTTCAAACCCGAACTCTATCTTAAACTTTGGAATTCTGAATTCACCAACTCTATCTTTCCATCTCGGAATGTGATTGTCCAAGAATCCATCAGTACATGTCATTTCTTCCACAAGCTTATCCAATCCATCTTTCGTGTCGGGGAGAAAGAAGCACATTGAGAACTGGCGACGCTTATTATTATCGCCTTGTTGGTATGGTAGTTTAAGGACCTTGAAACCATTGTAAGCCTTAATATATTGTCTTTCGTAGCTTTTCATGAAAGGCACCATGTACTTGTTTGCCATTGACAAGGTGGAATGGTTTGTGAATCGTCATTGACTTATCGAATTTGTTTTCCCAGGCTCCCTTGAAGTACAATGCGTTTCCATAAATTTTAATGGTTTGGCTTGTAACAGATCAAGGAGGAAGCAGATCTTTGATGAGACCATTGGTGTGATGTAAAGCCCACGAATTCACTTCCTTGCGCACTTCTTCAGCCTTCAAAACAACAAAAATAACCATGAAGTTAATTTCAAAAACTTGACCTAATTTATTACAAGCAGCTCTTGACCTAATTTATATAAAGCAAATTTGAAACCTAAATCTATATGGAAAATCTAGAGAAATCAGAAACTAACATTGGATATGAAATCAACTTGAGCAAAATCAGCCTTGAAGAAATTCTCAAAGAGTTCCTTCGACTTGGGAGAAGACGGAAGTGATTGCTCGATCCAAACTCCATTGACTGACGCGATCTTTGGCCCACCTTTTTCGCTTCGGTCGACAAGTATGAAGGAAGCGATTTCACGGAAGATGGAGTTGATAGATGCGGGAGAGAAGACTAAGTTAGAGTTTTTGGCTACGGCAGAGATTACTTTCCCTGCACGGAACAGAGCAACGTCGTTTTGCTTCTTCATCACTTCGTCCATGGCTTACTTTGACTTGTTGGGAAATCGATAAGTAAGATTTAAGAGGTATGCGACTTCGTGACGATGATGACGACTACGTTTATTTATAGCAGCAAGATGAACTTCACAAATCACAATGACCGACCGACTCTTTTGACAGCTTCAGAATTAATTACGCTACTGTTATAAAAAAAGGGACAATTTGACGCTGTGTTTTAATTTTTTAATGTACACATAGTCAAAGTAACTTAAAAAAAAAAAAAATGAAATAAGTAGGATTTGGAAAAACAGAAATCATATGTTTTTTTTTTAAGGGTGTATTCAAATGGAATTCTAAGAGATTTGAGTTTTATTGAGTTTTTAAATAATTATGATGATTTTAGGGAAGTTTATATGACTTTTATAAAATCTTTTCAAATTTCACCAAAAACTATAAATTTTCCTAAAATCATAAAAATCATTTAAAAATTCAATAAAACTCAAATCTCTTAAAATTTCATTTTGAATACACCCTTAAGTATTTCTCTCCTCTAGAAATTGTTCTAAAAAATAAAGATGATTGGAAGGAATGTACAAGGCACAAAAGCTTGAGGATGAAAAAGACTAGGGTAGTAAGTGGAGAAAATTCTTCCTTGGCTAGTCGAGAGACCAGCAGCTTACAAGTGAAGAAAGGTTGGTTAGTGTGGGAGCTGAAGCCTGCTGGAGGGTGAACGATGAAGCTGAGTGAGATCTTATTCCCTGTCACGAACTCGAACCGAAATCGAGGAGCGAAATAGTAAATAGAGAGAATAGTGTAGTTGTATTGCTGTTATTTTCCGACCTCTCTTACAAATCATCCTCTCCCTATTTATACTATAATACAATGGCCTAGCTAAAGGGATCGCGGACTCTGCTCCGCTCATTATGCGATCTGCATTAATGATGTGTTTGACTGCTCAGATTGTCAGTTACGATCGCGTATTTACTTCCCCAGCTCAAGTCCAGTCCGACCTCAACGGGCTCATAAGGCTTCTCGTGGGCCTCGTGTCGAGGCCTTCAACCGGAATTGGCCCATTAACCCGAAGTGCTGATCCCGGTGCCCACAGTTAGCTCCTCTCATTAACTAGGTTAAATGTAATATAGGGATTTCATGCTCCACCAAAAACAGGTTGGCTAGGGTTGCTTGGGTGCTAAGAGACCATGAGGGTGGAGTTTTATTACATAGCAGGAGAGCTTCGGCTAATGTAAGGGATCGAGAGGAAGCTCACTTCAAAGGGCTTCTATGGACTATTAAGAGTATGAGCAGTCAAATAATGGATAAGGTGACTTTTGGTCTGCAAGATGAGAGGTTAGTGTTTGCCCTTCATTTAGATACAAATCTATGGAGGTGTGTCGTTTACGGGTTCTGTTATTGGGTGATTTTTTTTTTTTGTGGAAAACTCATATTGAGACGAGGTTCTTTTCTTATTGTAGACTTCAGCCGTATGTGGCGTCATGCCATCCTTTGTGGCTAGATAGTTTTTTTGCCAAGGAAAAGATCTTGTCCTCTGTTTGAATCTGAGTTTTTACTAGTTATGGCTCGGGTATAGGAGCTTATTTTTTTGTACAAGCGTGATCCTTTGAGGAATTGAGGCTTAGGTTATTCTTGAAGTTTTTTGGTAAAGCATTTGTCACTGGTTTTAACAAACTTCTTCTTACACATTCTTGGACATGCATTATGTGCTTCTTCTACATCAATTTGATATGATGTCTTGAGCTGTGAAATACATTCAAAAGCTAATATCTACAATGCATAAAGAAAACAAATAAAAAATAAAGACTCTCAAAACTACATTGTTAAACAACAAAAGCAGAAATTACCTCTAAAGGAGTTATGACGCAAGAGAAAGTCCATTTAGTCTTCTTCTTTACTTTGTGTTTGAAAGTTTCCATCATGTTTTCGAAATCCTTTAGGCAGTCAACAAATGTGAGAGTACTGTACTGAAAACTTTCACAGAGACTCAAATTTTTCACTACCTTAACAAAGAAAGTGTTTAAAAAACCGGTTTTGTTCTTCTTTACATTAATGACAAATCCTATGAAGAAAATCACTGCTATTTTCAAAAATCTTCATTTTCCTCTTCCATTGAGATTTGTTTTTGCTGCACGTCTGATATATTTATCTTTTTCCCGTCTACAAAATACTCTTCAGCATAAGTTGATATATACCCATCCTTAATGTGAACCACATAATCTGATGGGAGGTCAAAACAACATAATTCAGTTAACAATGCATGTTCCCAAACTGAATATCTAATGGGAACATCATTGAAAATAAATAAGCATTCATTATCCTTGATATAAGCTATCTTAAGATCTAGAGCCCACAATCCCATGAAATAATGATTATCTTCACTAGGCATATGGAATATATGTTGAAATTGTGGGTGTGTTCATGAGGAAATTACGCCCTGACCTCTCTGCATTGGGGTCTCACAAGTAGATTTTTATGTCTACCGAGATTGATCAAAGAACATTCCTCAGGAACACCCACAATTTAAACAAATATTCCATATGCCTAGAGAAGATAATCATAAATTCACGGGATTATGTTCTCTAGATCTTAAGACAACTTATATCAGGGATAATGAATGATGGTTTATTGTTAATGGTGTTCCCATTATATATTCTCGAGAACATGAACTGTTAATTAGATTATGTTGCGATGACTTCCCATCAGATTATGTGGTTCACACTAAAGACGAGTATATTTCAAATTTTCCTGAAAAATATTTTATACACGCAGAAAAAAAGAATTTTGACGTGCAGCAAAAACTAAACTCAATAGAAGAGAAAATGAAGATCTTTTGAAAATGGCAGTGATTTTCTTTATATGATATGTTATTAAAACAAAGAAGAAAAAACTAGGTTTTCTAGACATTTTTTTCCTTAAGGTAGTGGAAAATTTGAGTCTATGTGAAAGTTTTCCGTGGGATATTATGATATTTGTTGACTATCTAAATAATCTCAAAAACATTTTGGAAATTTTCAAACACAAAATAAAGAAGAATTAACCACTGAACTACATCTACTTATAGAATCTGTTGCCTCAAAATTTATATATATATATATATTAGGGTATTTACATTTGGTAGTCTCAGTTGACCAATTAATTAAATATCTAACATCCATAACTCAATATTTAGTTTTCTTTTTTCCAGACGTTTTTACCCCTATCTATAACTTACATAAACAAATAAACATCGATTCTCGTTCTCTTCTTATATCTTTCTCTCTCTTTATCTCTCACCTAAGCATATAACCTTTTCGTTATCTGATAATATCCACACATATTAACAAAAATATTATACTAATTAATGTGTTATCCCTTATCTAAATGTATCATATTTAGGGATTCAGTTGTGTTGCATTTTTGTTGAGTTTTATACTTTACTATCGTTTTATAAGAATTTCATTATTTGATAACAATCTAATTATCCGATAACATAATTGATAACGATCTAATTATCAGATAACATATTAGATAACAATCTAGTTATCCGATAACAATCTATAAATGCAACTTAGTTATCCGATAATAATCTATATAGCGCATCATCATTGGTGTCTCTGCACAATTGGATCTTGTCAGATATTTGCTTAGAGAATAATCATTACATGCTGAACTTGCAACTAAATTGGTATAGGGATAGCCACGTATTTTCACCTCCCCCCCATTGAAAAAACTAATTTTCAATTTATCAACTCTTTCCTTTTCGTTTTCTATTTATTTCATTGAAAAAACTAATTTTCAATTTATCAACTCTTTCCTTTTCGTTTTCTATTTATTTGAGCACATACTTTTAACTAACCCTATATATTATTTGGTGCTTAAAGCAAGGGCTTTACCAGCTTTAGCCCATGACCAGTCCGGGTTATAACAGTGGTTAAAATATACAGCCATTTATAGTTTTAATATTTTAAAATAACAAGAAACTCATATCCATATTATAATAAAAATTAATTTAGCTCCTTTACCACATCACAATGAAAAGCATAAGATGAGAAAAGAAAAATATTCTAAAGTGTAAGTAATAAAACTAACATGTCCATACAATTCTAAGATTTAATTTTTAGACGTTTTTTAACTATTGGCTTAATATCATGTTGTTGATAATATATTTGCAGAATTTATATGCATTACTAATTGACCTAAAAATAAAATAAATATGAAGACAATTTAGATAAAAGAAAATTACATATACCCTTATATTTTAAATATATATATATATATACATTCTTACCGGTATAAACTTCTTATAAACATAATAGCATATGCTACATACATAGGGCATACATATAGATATACACTAATAAAAATTTCTTTGAAATATTTTTTTATGTGTGATCTGATTTATGAGGGTTAGTGAGACGTGTGTCTTGCTATTTATATGAAAACTGTAGTTTAACGCCTATTATAGATTTATTATTTAACTGGGTAGTTAATGTACTAATCTTTATATCAATAAATATCTATTAGTTATATAGACTATATATATGAGAGTTACAAAGATGTATTAAGTACATACTAATATTTTTTTTTTTTTGACAACACTAATATATTTTATTATTTATTATGTTTTTAACTAAGTCATTCATTGAAATACTAATAATACTATGGAAGTTACAAAAATGTCTACATATAACAAAATATACAAATTTAATTAGATAAAATGTAATGCCTTAAATATGGATATAATTATTAATATAAGAGTTATGCAATATGAGATAGAATATGAAATTTAATAAGATATGTGAGAAAGTTCATAAAAATATATTTCTTAGTTTTTCGAAATATAAATTTATGAGCTACTATAATTATAAATATAAATATAACATAAGAATTTCATGCTAATCGCATTATAAATATAAATATGTATATATTCAGATCTCTCTTTAATAAAACTATATTTTAGTTATTTCTCTCTAAATATTTATTAATTGTATAACAATACTTATTTTGAACAAAATTTGAAATCTAGAATGACACAAATATGAAAAGAAAAGAGTATATATTTTTCCTTGTATAACCAAATTGGAAACTTAACTGAAATTTCTAATTATGGTTTGGCATAGATACATAATGGATTTGTCCGACTCCCCCTAGATGCCGATTTACGTTACTTCCTTGGGTGGGGAAATAATCAACTGCATGTAATATTAGTTAGCTTTAAATTTTAGAAAAAAAAAATTAAAGTACTATTTGATATGTCTAAAATTACTAGAATTGAATTTATAAAACTTTGCGGTCATTGCAAAGTTGACATCCGATCTAGAGATATATCTTTTAGTCTATATGTAAAATATGTTTTTTGGAGATCGACTCGGGTTATAACAGTGTCAATCGACATCAAACGTTAGTTACATAAACAAAAAGATTACTAACAGAGCCATACAACAAACTTGGATTCGAAGTTATTGTTCTTTAATATTTAAAGGGGGTTATGAGGTTTTAATCAATGCTATCAATAGAAGAGATCAAGGAACTGACACTGGAAAGCCTACTTAATGATTATTTTTAAAAATTTTGTTCCAAAAATTTGTAATAGGCAACATCTCATTTGTAAAGACTCCCAAACTTAATAAAATTTAATTGACGAAAAAAAGAACAAAAAAAACTCCGGGTGCGACATTACAAGGGTTTCTGAGAACATACAAGGTGATTTTGGAACTTTAATAATTAAAATACGACCCTTTTCTCTCTTTTGAGCCAACAAATGGTAATTATAGGAACCTAATCAGAGATGCCAAAATAAAAACGAAAATATAAAATTTATTCACCGGCCTAGATAACAAGGGCCAATATAAAACCATTACATAATAATACGTAAAAACTCAGGCCAAATAAACAACAAGTAGGATCAACATAATCTCACAAACACAACAAACGTTAAACAAAGCAAACAAAACATGAAAACTCAAGGACACACACAAAACAAATCTTGTTCATCTTCTTTAATTACTTCTTCTGTGTTTCATGAGTAGTGGTTGTAGTAGTAGTACTTGGGGCTGAAGAAACATGTTCTTTATTTCCTTCATCAGTACCAAGCCCCAAAGTGTGCTTAACTGCATCAGTAGCTCCCATAGCCATCTGCTTCACCTGCTCACCGGTCTGGCCCAAGATCCCACTGGTCTTCTCCTTACCAGCTTCAGCTGTCTCTTTGGTATATTCCGCTGCGTCTTGTGCCTTGTTCTTGATTGTCTCTCCGGTTTCCGACATGTGGCTTCCCGTTTTGTCCTTGGACTCTTGAGCTCTCTGTTGAGTTGTTTGTGCTGCTTGAGACGTCTTGTCTTTAGCAGACTGAGCTGTTTCATGAGCCTTTTGTTGTGCCGTTTGAGCTGTTTCATGAGCCTTTTGTTGTGCCGTTTGAGCTGTTTCATGAGCCTTTTGTTGTGCCGCTTGAGCTGTCTCTTGAGTTTTATCCTTAGCTGCCTGTGTTTTCTCTCCCATCATTCCCATAGCTTCCCCCTTCTCCTACAGTTCAAAGATTTGATGATTAAAATTATCATTCAGATGATTTTTCCTTTTTAATCAAATAATAACTTCACCATCTATACAAAAATATTTTAGTTTTTTGCAAAAAACAAAATATATATATATAACTGTTGTTTCCAAACAAGTATTGTAGATTTGTAGTAATTCATATAAAACATTTAGTACGTACCTGAGCCTTGCCTCTAGTTTCACCAGCTTTGTAACTCTGTTCTTGATGAGACGCCATTTTCTCTCTTCAAAAATTCGAAACCAAAATATTTTACCTTGATAATAAACCTTTTCTTAAGATCGTGTGTTTTTTTATGTGTTTGGAACTGTGATGAGTTGTCTCCGAGTCGTTCGTTAAGAAGTATATATAGCAAGTCTTGGTCGGCGTGGGAACAAGATATGTGTTACAGTATCTCGACATGTGTGTAGCTACGTGCCCCGATTAGGTTGAAGTGACGAAGGTTCGAAACTTGGAGTTATGTGCGAGTGTTATAAAGTTAGGTTTCTCGTTCTGAAGACCACCCTATGCTGATGTGCCACCTCATGGTAAAAACTAAATTAAGTCACAGAAGAAGCTAGAATGCTAGACACGTGGGTGACTCACGTTATCCGGATTATAATTACTGGATATTCATGTACTCAATGCATTACGCAACCGTCATTACGCACTAGATATTTACATTTTTCTTATAAAAAAGAAACCAAAATATACAACGTGACAGTACTATACAATAATTCGCACAATATTTTTACATACATTCGACAATATATAAAACAAATTTATTTTAGTTGGATCATACCAAGAACAAAACTCTATAAAGCCTAGAAATCGATCGGACTTTTCAAACCATACTACATGAATAAAATACCTTTTTAACAAGCAACAGGGCAAAAAAGAAAAGAATTGTCACCGACAAAAAAGGCTTAAGATTATCTTTTTGCCGGTCATCCTCCTTTATTTCTTGACCAAGCACGTTGAGACGTCCTCAAATTATTCACCTCCACAGCAAAAATTAGCAATGTAAAAATCGCCAATAGTAATGCGTAGATTTAGGATTTTTACTATAAAAAAAACACTTCTTGCGATATGTATAAATACTATAGTAGATGCATATCAATCCCATCAGGTATTCTACAAATTTACAATCTTAATATCTAATTAAGACATTCACAGATCAACAAAGAAGATGTCGTCGAGCCAGCAATTGAGACACGAAGCCGAAGAAGTCAGCGGTCAAGTTCAGGTACATACAAACACAAAATAACCACTTCATTCATTAGATGATTGCACCAATATAATGCATATCAATCCCATCATGTATTTTTTTTGGTATGTTTTTTTTAGCTAATATATCACAAATCCTTAATAAGAGTTTGTTTTTAATTTGGATTAAATATGTTAGATATCTAAAATCATGGTTTTTATGTTATTTGGACCGAGACTGAACATTCACAGTCTAGTTTTATGCAATATTGACAATTTTCGAAAATCTGATATTTGTGATGAACTAGATATATATGATATATCCAATATTTATATCTAATATATGTTAATTATAGCTGAAGAAGGAAGAGTACTTGAACAATGTATCACATGCAATGAACCAACATGCTGATCACCATACTCACTCACAGTTACACTCATCATCAGAACATGATCAGAACAGCCCTTCCCTAATTTCCCAGGCCTCTAGTGTCATCCAACAGGTTTTGTTTTCTTCTTCTCATTTTTTCATTTTCCTTAATTTAAATGACATTAATTATATATTCATTAACATATTTATTATTGGTTTTGGTGTGTAGACTGGTGGCCAAGTTAAGAACATGGCACAGGGAGCAGCCGACGCTGTGAAGAACACTCTCGGGATGAGTCCCACGGCCACAAACAGCCCTAGCAAACCCGGCTCCAAGAATATTTAAGAGGATTGGATCCTATATTCTCCAATACCAAGACAAAAATATTGTTTTATGATTTTCTTTTTTCGTTCAAATTTCTGAATTTTGGGTATATTATTGTACGTTGGAGACATGTTTACATGTCAACCCCTAGTGAGGGTTTTTATATTTTAAACTAGTCATATATATAATAAAATTATTGATTTCTTATTTATATCTAAGAAAAAAAAAATCTCAAACGTATTATTAGTCCACTCCAGCCTCCAGGGTTTTGTGTTTTGTTTGAAACCAATATTAATCATATGTTATATTTATTTACTGGTATAATAAGATTTATCTGGAACATCTTTTTCAATTTTCTTTTATAATAAATTTGGTAAATAAAAAATCACATATACCAATTGAACTAATGAAAATATAAATGACACTAATATATGTTAAAAGAATCTTTAATATATAAATTCATATATTAAAATATAATAAATTTCATTCAAAGTCTTTGAGTTAAATGACTTGGTGGGAAACACAAAAAGTATTACTATATTTTATTTTGTTAAAAGAAATATATTTTCATCTAAAAATAATGGGTATCATTTGTAGCGACGTAAAATTTTCAAATTTAAATTGTTGGAAAATAGTTGATTGTAAAAATCCAATGTTTTTTTCCAAAATTATTTAATATATAATCCGAACCGATCAGAATAAATAAATAAAAACTTAAGTTTTTTAATGTATATATTCTTAAATATGTGAGATCAAAATTTAACTCTGTCAAATATTCTGTATTCATGGGTAGAAATATACCAATCATTATATAAATGAAGATTTTTATAAAAATAAAATAAATAACTGAGGTATTTTTCGTTCCAATTTAAAAATGCTTGTTTCAAACGTCCAAAACAAAAATATATGACGGGCTTTTCGGGTCCCCATAATAATATATTAATTCCATAATCTGAAACCACGAAAAAACTTAACTGGAAATCTGAAGGTGTGATCAAGGGCTTTTTGGAGTAAAGTAATGGGCCTAGATACCAAAAATACCCAAATCCAGTTTACTCCATTTTCTTTCGCTTCACTCTGTTTGTATCGAACAAGCGAAACCACTGTCTCATTCCTCCTTCGGGTTCCTCAAATTTGATTTCGAATCGTCTTCCTCGTTCGTATCGTTTACTCAGCTTTTATTTTTCCAAATCTTCACCACATCACATCTCCTGCATTATCATTCATCTCTTCATCGGATCTTTCTCCTCTTCTTCCCATGAATTCCTGTAAGTTTTGAGGTTCACATTCGAGCTTAAAGTTTCAATTTTTATTTTTGTGAAATTGATCATGAATGATTTTGTTGTTCTCCATTTTCGTGAATCCTTCTTTCAATTGGGTCATCTTGCAATTTAGAATTTGATTTAGATTTGCGTTTGAACAAGCAGAGACAGAGAGTTCTTTTGCAATGTGATTAGTGTGTAAAAGAGAGAAAACAAAAATACGAGTCTTGAGTTGATGCGTCTTCGTTTCAAGAATAATGCATTATAAAGCTTGTTCCTTTATAATGCAATTGTTCTTCTCCTCGTTTCAAGACTATATATAGCAAAAACAATAATATCTATTTTCAAAACATGCTCCTTTCTTGTTTGTTTGAGTTTATAGTTAATGTAACATGTAGTGTATTTGAGCTCATTGCTGTATTGAGGAGTATTGATAAGATATTTGCTTCTGTTTCAGGTAGCTTAGGAGCTCCAAAACTTCGGATTTCTTTAGCAAATTTCAGTAGATTAAGATGTGGAAACTTGCTGATACCGAACAATCAAAGACTTTTTATTGACCAAGGCCAAAGCCCCATCAAGTTTCCGAGTCTGAGGACAACTCTGCGAGCTGTGAAAGCTGTCCAATTGTCTACTGTCCCACCTGCAGAAACATCTGGTATATTGTTATCTTAGCACTTGATTGTGTTTTACTGTTTGTTCATAAAAATAAATCCTTTCTTACAATGCTTATAGTTTTGGCTTATGGAATGACTCATTATTTATTCTTCTTTAACATTCTTTACTGTAGCTATTGCAGACGTAGAGGATTCTGAAGAGACTGAACCAACTATTGTGAATACTCAGCTCATTCCCAATTCCTCTGAGGTGGGTCTTACCTTCATGTTAAATCTCTTATATCCAAGGCTAAGTATCATGCACAACTGTTTTTACATTAGGGAGGTCACTTTGGAATTATATAGAATTCACAAAGCTAGAACTGCCACATTGTTCTTTCCATCTAAAAAGATATCTTTACTGCAACTTGATTATTATAATGCTAGAGAAGGAAAACTGTATGTCCTCATTTAAACTGAGTCATTATTTTTCTTTTCCATCTTCTAGGTTGAAGCACTTATCAGTGAAATCACTGATTCCTCATCAATTGCAGAGTTTGAACTTAAAGTAAGCAGCACTTATAATTTCTGAACTCGTATTCATTGTAGCTCAGTTCATTTGATTACTAGTCTCTGCTAAGTTTTCTTTCGCATCGTCTCTAATGCTTTTTCTTTCTCCCGTTTGCATATTTCTAATAGCTGGGAGGTTTCCGCCTTTATGTAGCAAGAAAATTAGCTGACCAAAGTAGTCCACCACCTCAGCAAATTCCAAATGTGGTTGCTGCAAGCGCAGCTCCTGAGGGGGTTCATACTAATGGCTCAGCCACTTCTTCGTCATTAGCTATCACAAAATCATCATCTTCATCAGACAGACCACAAACACTCTCTAACAAAGCTGCTGATCAGGGTTTAGTGATTCTCCAATCTCCAACGGTTAGAGACCATATTGACTTTGAGGCTCAGCGCTTGATAATTCTTTTGAAACGGACATGACACCGACTAAAATTTGTAGTCTCTCGATTGAATTTCTATTGTAGGTCGGTTATTTCAGGAGATCCAAAACCATAAAAGGCAAACGCACTCCTACTATCTGTAAAGAGGTACTCCTTCTCTTATGTTTTAAACAAGTCTTTGAAAATCTCCATCTTCTTGGAATTTTTGGGAATCTCTCAATTGATTATGTATTTGTTTTTGGCTACTCATCAGAAAGACATAGTGAAAGAAGGTCAAGTTCTATGCTACATCGAACAACTCGGTGGCCAGATCCCAGTTGAGGTAATAACAGTAATCATATTCAGTTTCTTTGCCGTTTTCTCTTCCTTGTCTTCTTATTTTTTTTTTTGTCTTCTTCCAGTCTGATGTTTCCGGTGAGATTGTCAAAATACTCCGCGAAGATGGCGGTAAGACCCTTTTCTTTATGCCGCTAAATCTTTCCTCATACCAACATGATATTCCTCCTCTGACTTTTGTTTTTTTTTCTCCGATTTGCAGAGCCTGTAGGATACAACGATGCTCTCATCACAGTTCTTCCTTCATTTCCTGGCATCAAGAAGCTTCAGTAAGAACTGATTTTGGTTTAATTATGTTTCTGTATTCTTCTTTGTTTTTTATTTCTCCACATAGACAAATAAGCTCCACTCTCTAAAATGTCGTTGTTGGTACCATTCTCTTTGTTTACTAAATTAAATTGGAACCCTTGTTTACCCAGTGAGACTAGAACATTCATTCTTATTATATATGATCAATGAGAAAATTACAAAGCAAATACACAATAGAAAAAAATCAAACAAATCTTTCAAAAATAACCTAGCCAGTAACTTTAAACAATACATCAATGTTTTCCCAATTTAAATACCACATCTCGGCTTCACCTAGTTCCTGTCCAGTAGTTTGAGAACTGTTACCAGAAATAAATAAGTTGAAATGATCATCAGTTAGAAACCATGAAAATGAAACCTATAGTTGATAAAATACTTGATCAAAGTTTAAGAATTTGACCTGAGAAGTTAGGAGGAGAGTTACTCAAGATGTACAAGGCGTCACGCCATTCTTGAGGAGTTTTCTTGGAGGCCATGGCTCGGCCAATGGTGACCAAAGCCAAAGGAAGACCATCACATTTGGCTGCAACTTCTTGAGCCACCTTAGCTATGTCCGGGTGGCTCTTCACTGTATCTTCTCCAACATTCTTCTTAAACAAGTCCCAAGCTCGTTCCCATGCTAATTTCTCCACTTTGATCTTCGTCTGTGCACTCATCTCCTTACAAACTTCTTCGCTGCACGTCGTGAACACTATCTTCGACCGGTTCTGTGCATCGGGTGGTGGAACTCCAGCTTTCACTGTACAAGAAAAACAGATTAACGTATACAACAAGTAATAAACACTACTGCTTGCACCATAAGTAATCCATTTAATAAAACCCTTACCAAGATCAACTTTCTCCCAAACATCATCAAGAAACAAAGCGAAACGTCTCTTACTCAAGATCTCAAAAATCTTGGCAGCTTTCTCTTCTTCGGTTTTACTCATCCACGTCCTATCCAAAAACCCAATCTTCTCCCTAATCGTGTCTTGAATCTTCTCAAGATTCAGATTCTTGGACACAAAGACCCACAAAACAAAATCAAAACCATTAGCTTTCTGTTGAAGCAACCTGTTATTAACCTGAGTCAAAACCGTGGTCTTTCCAACACCTTCCACACCGTATAAGCCAATAATCCCAGTGTTTTCCATCGTCAAACACCTCCAAACCAAACCCGAAACCGCCTCTAACCCAATCGTCTGCTCATCGCTATCCTTTACCGTCAATCCGCCTCCTCCTCCTCCTCCAATGCCTCCTCCAATACTCTCCGCAACAACCTCAAACATTCCTCTGCTCTTAATCTCTTGAACCTCTTTCAGCTTCTTGCAAATCTTCTTCTCCAACTTGTGGCTCGACGATATCAAACCCGAAGAAGAAGAAGAAGAAGAAGACATCAAGAAATATTCCTCAGCTTCTTTAATAACAGTGTCAGCTTGTCTAAGCCAAGACTGGACTTTGTCTAGCCGCTTCATCTGTTGCTGCTCCTCACAGATCTTGACTCTTTTCATCACGCTGCTCCCAAGATCTTTGAGTTCTTCGGTTGCGAGTTTCAGCTTCCTTACATTGTCATTCATCTTCCCAACGTAGATGCACCTAGTAACCAAACTCCTAAGATCTTTCCCCATATTTTCCCTAACGTAGATGATTGAAAACTGTTTTGTGACGGTATATATTATATATATGAAAGTGTTTGATCAGACTTCACATGGACTGACTTGCACGTTGTGATTTTTTTTGGCTATGTCTGGTAATGGTTGTTGGAGAATTTAAGGTTAATTAACTAAAGTAAACCTAGTTTAAACAGATTAATTCGGTGTACAAATTATTATATACTTTGTCCGTTTAAGGAAGTGATTAATACATGTTCTGATGAAACTGTGCACTACTTTGCCAATTAGCAATCAAATAGCTAAGCAGAGAAAAAGACTTTTTGTGAATTCCTCATTTGAGATTTATATATTATGTTGGTTGGTCACTCTTTGTGGTTATCATGTCTCTCTAAACTTCGAATATCATTTGATCTAATAACAAATATAACCATCATATGTAATGTAACTTAAGTCCGTCTGATCTGTCTTTTATTAAATCTGTTCATTAGTCAACTCGTGTGTGAATCGTAATTAGATATCTCTGTCGGAGACTATGGATACGAATTTGGGCTTAAATTTGCAACAATGGAATTGGGCCTCTTAAATTATTGGGCTCGTCTATATAAGTTTATACAAAGTTACAAATCCCTATTGCATTCAAAAAAATTCAGATTGGCTCAACTCAACTGCTTTGTTTAGTATTTTTCACGAGTAATCATCTCCCATGCCCTTTTTTCTAATTTTTATTCCACTATCTCCCTTTTTAATCTCTCTACCCCTCCTTCATTAATGATAATGTGTCATCCCCAAACTACCCCTGCTCCTTATTTTCTTTTTGTTTTTCTTTTATTTACTTTAATTAATAAAAAAAATAAACAAAAAAAAAAAAAATCGAACCTCTCCCCACGAACGCCGAACCCGAGCTCAGAGCTCTTCTCCGCCTCCTCTTCCGTCGTGGTCCGTTTTTGGTGCCGGAGCTGTCGATTCCGGCGACGTCGGAGGCCCTGCGTTTCTTCTTCTCTTTTGAGCTGTACAAAGCTCCAAAATGCAGGTACATTCTTCAACTATAAGCTTCATATAGAACTAGATTTTTGAAATTTGATTGGATTTTGGTTGAGAAGATAAATCCTTAGCACATTGGATGTTTGAGCATGGGTTCTTGGTTGATTGAGCTATTTAGTTGATTAGAATGACTTTTAAACCCAGATTCGTCTTGAATTGCAGAGTTTAGAACCCGAAATCGAAATTCGATTTAGAGTAGAACTAGTAAAACTAGGCACTGTGGTAAATATAGTATAACTAGTAAAACTGGTAATACTGGTACAACTCGCATAAATGGTAAAACTGGTAAAACCAAGTAGTACAGGAACTGGTAAAATTAGTAAAACTGGTAAAACTGATTTTGTTTATTGTATTTTTTTTTTGGCAGGATACAATGAGCGAAAGAGTTAGCATATATTTTAAGTGTGAAGGTCGGATGTATAGTATTATGATCAAGACAAAAGCGAGTGATATAACGTTGTCGATGCTAAAAGGAAGGATAAACAAGAAGGTTGGATTTGTTGAGAGCCATGTTAAGTTGGAGTTGAGCTACTATCCGCTAGTGGCAGAATCGAATGTGAGGGAAAAGTGTACGATTTATGATGATGAGGATTTGGATGTGTATTTGACGTCCTTTGATACAGAGAAGCGAAGATGTGTGTTGATTGTGGATGTGACAAAGGTATCGGAACAGCATGAGCAAGTGATTGAAGATGATGATGATGATGATGATGAGGCTGTTAGAGTGGACCAAAGTTCTGTTGGTATGAATTATCAAAACCAACAGACTAGAGATGATGAGGCTAACGCCATTGTTGCATACGAAGAGAAAGATAAAGGAAAGGGTGTCGAGGGGGATTCTGAAACTTTAGGACGTGAAGAAGGTGATGAGTATGTTGAACAACCACCTGTTGTAACACCTTCTCAGTTTATAGACCCATGGGAAGACGGTTTAACTTTGAGGAAATTTGACGAATTCCCAAACAAGAAGGCATTGCAAGAAGTGGTGGATAGAGCTTCGTTTGCTAACTGTTTTAGGTTTAAAATTGCGAAGTCGGATAAGGATCGTTATGTGTTGAAATGTTATAAAGAAGGATGTAGTTGGGGTTTACGAGCTACAAGAGTTCCACATACTGAGATTTTCTCGATCCGCCGGCACAACAATATGCATAGTTGCTCTCGGGCGAGTAAAAGTTCAAGCAACAGTAACAGGCGCGGCACCCCGGAATTAGTTGCATCCCTTTTGCATAATGATTATCCAGGACAGATGGAAACTCCACGTCCCAAGATTATCGTGGAACTTGTGAAGACCAAATTGGGTTTGAGTGTATCATACTCGACGGCATTGAGAGGGAAAGTTAAAGCCGTTAGTGATTTGCGTGGTACCGCGGAAGAAAGCTACAAAATGCTCCCTTGTTATTTGCACATGTTAGAGAAGGTTAATCAAGGTACGAGAACATATCTGCATTTGGATGAGAATAAGAAATTCATGTACTTGTTCATAGCTTTGGGAGTTAGCATCGAAGGGTTTCAAGTCATGAGAAAGGTTATAAGTATAGATGCAACATTTCTAAAGAACGGATATGGTGGTGTTCTTGTTTTTGCCTCGGCTCAAGATCCTAACCGGCATCATTATCCGTTAGCGTTTGGTGTTCTTGACGGTGAGAATGATGCGAGTTGGAATTGGTTTATGGAGATGTTGAAAACCGTTATTGGAGACTCCTCTGAAATAGTCTTTATGACTGACAGAAATGCAAGTCTCATCAAAGCCATAGCTAATGTGTATCCACAAGCTCATCATGGGTTTTGTATATACCATTTGTCCCAAAATGTTAAAGGTCATGCTTCGAACTATAACAGAGATGTTGTTGCATGGAGATTCATGGAGGTAAGCAGGTTATACACAGTGGCTGAGTTCGAAGTGGAATACAATTCGTTCAAGATAAGGTATACAAATGCTGCCAAGTATCTCGAAGATTCTACGAAGGTTGAAAAATGGGCAAGGTGTGTATTTACAGGAGAAAGGTACAACCTAGACACTAGCAACGGTGTGGAATCATTGAACAGCGTATTCAAAGACGTTAGGAGATACTCCTTAATTCCCATACTTGATGCGATTATCGCTAAATTCTCTGAATGGTTTAATGAACATCGGAAAGAGGCCGTGTCTGGTTCGGTTGCAAATAAATTGGTGCCTTTTGTGGAGAATTACTTGCACGATTTATGGGGGGTTGCTGAGAAACTAAAAGTGACTGAGCTAAACTCTTTTGAGCTGCAATACAATGTCATTGACAACGACGGGAAGCCTTATTTGGTGAATTTGGTTATGAGGAGTTGTGGTTGCAGGTTCTTTGATATTCAAAAGTACCCTTGTGTACATGCATTGGCCGCTTTAATAGAGTACCTAAAGACTAAAGATAGAACTAGAGATATACAAATGCATGAGTTGTGTTCTAGGTACTATTGGACCGAGTTGTGGGCGATGGCGTATTACCAGACAATTTTCCTAGTACCGGATAAGTCTCAGTGGAACGTCCCGCCTTGGGTGAAAGATGTTCAGATCATTCCGCCAAAACGCAAAACAAAGGGTGGAAGGAAGAGAACTAAAAGGTTTGCGTCTACTGGAGAAAAGCGACCACCAAAGAGAAAAAGAACACAAAATAAAAGGCGGCGGAGACAAGGACTACAATGGTTGTTATTCGGAGTTTCTAGTAATGTTTGATTCATGTTTCGTTAATTTTTTGATTCATGTATGGAACCTTCTGTTTGTA